AACCATCATCGTCAAAAGGAACGCTGATCGCCACAGCCGTCCCGTAATGTACCAGTCAGGAGATTACGTGCTACTCGACACACAGAATTTACGCCTGCGCGTCGTGTCAAAACTTCGCCCGCGTTATAGTGACCCATTTCAAATAAGCCACATGATCACGCCCGTCACCACCCATCTCCTGCTACTCGCCGACTAGTATATCGGCCCGTCGTTCCACGTCAGCCTACTTCGCCCATACATCCCAACCACAAGCCAACTTCCACACCATCGCCCACCCTCAATGACGCATCCAGCATCGGAACCGATCGTCGAGTTCGATAATTTTTTGAACCATCAGATTCGCCACCCCACAAGAGTTTGAAAGAAGGACCGCACCCCCACATAAGACACTTGGGTGCCCTTAGCCAACATCAAAAGTCACCTTGCCCTGCAAGTGCACCTGCGAAGCTGGGGATTCCGCGATATACACGCAGTCGCTTAGCGGAAGGGCTTCTTGGGGAGGAGGGTAGTGTAAGGATTTTTTTGCCGTTCCTTACCGCGCATCTTAACATTGCGTACAGGACCAGCCATTTCTTCGCCCATTACCGATAAAGATGTTTCGCCGCCTTCGCACGCCACATTTGCCAAACCATGCATCGCTGGCCTGGCCCGAGTCGGCCCACGCCTCGGGACTAGCCCGAACCTTGTTCGCTGCCAACATCTCACTAGGTAGGTCGCACGCACCGTGTTACCGTTTGCATGTTTCGCTTATTAGTATTCTCTCATGTCTTCGCTCATACTTGGTACTTGTTTGCCAGCTTAGTGCAATCCTCACTACCTGTAAGGAAAAATGTTTTTCCTTACTTTGCACCTTTGCTTACCACGCCCATGACTGTTCCGACCAACTATAATCAACAGTGCACCGTTACCACACCGTGACCCAAGCCACGGCTCAGTTGGTATACCGCGCTCCGGTCCTCCACCTCAACAATTCCCAACCTTGGCGCTAGGCCCGTAGCGCACCCCATTTTCACGCATTACCATTACCACGCTAGTTCGCTACATAACATTCGCTCATTCCTTCGCTCAATGTACTCTTTTACTTCATAGTGCAATCTTCGTTCGCTCACTCAAGTGCACTTATAACACTTGGTATCAGAGCAAAGACCCTTTTTGGACCGCGCCCACACCTTCGCTTCTCAAATTATCTCAATGTTTTGGGGGGTAGACGCCCCTCAGCGACCAAGCTCTGCTGCTCGTGTGCTCTCTCGTAAGCAGACCCAGCCACGACTGAGGCTCTAGCTCCACTCAGCAACGACTGAGGCTCAAGCTCCACTTAGCCACGACTGAGGCTCTCGCTGAGCTAGCCCGTCACCCCACCTTGGACAAGAATGCCCACATTCTGTTCGAAGGCCTCACGCAAGCACGCCTCGACGAAATCTTGCGCCAGCTGCAAAATCGACACTCGAAATCGCAACGCTCACAGCGGAACGCGACTTCGCGCTTCAACAATCATTGGCGAATGCACCAGCACCAGCACCAACGCGAGCACCAGCAAATGCACCTGCACAATCAGACGAGCTGATCGTCATCTCAGCCGGAGCGCCATCACAATACGACAGCGTGGGACAATGCTCAAGAGCAATCAGTGATGGCGCCGCCCAATCTATGCTGGGCATGGAGAGAACCAGGGCCGCATCGGGCGTGAACACACCTCAAGAAGTCTGGCCTCACGTCAGCATCGTCGCACCTGTTGGAAACAATGACATCGTTGAGCCGATGCCGCTCAAGCCGCAGCGCCCGCCCTGTTTCGGTCCTAGCCAGACGTGGAGGTCCGGCGGTTCAATCGTGGGTATTCACGATGAACGTATTTTTTTACATGAATTACGTCCACGTCGGATGCAGCGAGGATTCGGTACGCTGTATCGTTGCTGCGGGGCCCAGCCATGGATTGGCGGCGACTCATCGTGACGTCGCCGAGCGCCTACGAGCCCTCGGGGCCAGCTGTGACCTGGAGTTCGTTCTACGAAGTCGCCCAATACAGCACGTGGGACGCGTGGTGCGCAGAACTCTTCGAGCTGATCGCGGCTTTGGTCGCAGCACGTCAGAAGTTGCGCACTTGGCAACAGCTTGGGTCGGTTCAAGACTACACCAGCGGTTTTCTCACACTGTGTGAGCAGGTCGGCTACCTGCACGAAGCGGGGCGAGTGGATCGCTATGTCGGCAGCCTGAATCCGGAAATCTCGCAAAAAAATCATACTTCGCGGGATCTCTAATTTCAACAAAATCTTGGCGTTCACAGAGAAAATCGGCATTTTGCGCCGTCCGACGCCGGGGTCCTACTACGGACATCGTACTCGGGGGCCGACCAAGTACGCAACTGTAGTCGCCGTCGCAACAAAGGCAGCTGCCGCACCATTTAAAGGGCGCTGCTTCGCATGCAACGAGTCAGGCCATCATAAGAACGAGTGCCCAGAGGAGCTAAGGCACCGAGGAGCGAAGCAGGGGAGGGAGTCTGAGAGGCAGGGAAACGCCAACAGTTAGTAGAGTACGGGTCCACTATTGACAAGATTCACTGCTCGCCCGACCTCACTGACCCTCACCGAGTGACAGTACCGATTCACGCAATCGACCTGGCTCGGCTGAATAAGGAGGGTACAGCAACATATTGCCCAATACTGAAGATGACGGAGGAGGGACATATTCACGGGATAATACAGGGGGTAGCAGTGAAGATTTTTATTGACGGAGGAGCTAGCCATAGTTAAGTTAATACCGCAACTGCAAGGAAGCTGCAACTAACGCAGAGCCGCTGCTTCCCAGAGATCGACGCACGCTTAGTTGATGGCATGCCCCTGGCTATATGGACCGTCTCCTTCGCCATACCCGAGAGTTGGCGCGTTCTCTCCGAGATGAGAAAGACGCCAAGAAGCAAAAAGATAGTTCCGAAGGCGATCGCGACGGCGCTCAAGAGTAAATCCCCGACCAGTAGAGCTGTAATGATGTTGGTGCAACCCTACGGTTTGCATTCGGCATGTTGTCCGTATGCGTGCATGCGTGTGTGCATGGAATGGTATGAGGGCATGAGATAATATATATTTCATGCTTACAATAGTGTGTGAATGATGAGGCATGATTTTGAATGTGTGTGTCAAGTCAATAGCGAGTCATCGCTAGTCGCATGTCTACGTCGTCGTTTGTGTGTCTCGCGCGGTTTCTATTTTGTCGTTTGTGTGTGTCGCGCGACTCCTATTTTGTCGTGTGTGGAACGTTCCGCGTGTCGCAGGTGTGTGCATCAGACCCATCAAGAACTCAAGGATGAGTTTATGATGAAGAAACAGAGCCTTGGTTTCAAGATTCAAGTGATCGCGAAGCCCGCGAAAAAGGTTACACCTCAAGATATTGAGAATAGTTACATTACTTTGTGTCCTGTAACATTTCACTTGGTGTAGGCCCTTGTGAAGGGTATTTTCGAGACCCTTCATGGTTGGGGACAGTGTGGAAATGTTCCACATCACTATACCTCGGCTCTTGGGGTTTGTAGGAGCTGGGAGTCATTCCCAACTCGTAACTCTTCCTATCTTGTGTTCTAAGACTATAGTGGCTGCCATAGTGACATTCGTTCAAACCGATGCTGTGTTGTCAATTATTAATGAAATCGTGCGATGTAAATTGCCTAGTGTAGGCGATATTATGAAGCTCTAGATCCAATTTATAGCAAGTCATTTGAAGCTGTGAACAGAACGCTATCAACGTTTGAAGCCGCTGTGCAGAAATCCGACTGTGCACTCTATCTTTAGTTTAAGGCACATTCAAGCCTATTGTGAATATAACAAGTGGGTCAGAGCCCCTTGGAGCATTTTAGACAATGGCTGGACCTGAGGAAAGGGGTGGCAGAGGTGCTGGTAGCAGTGGAGAAGCCCAAGCTCAAGGCCAACCCCGTGATTCAGCCATGGCGCCCGTGCAACCAAGTCTTGGCCCACCTAGGGATGAACCTAGGGTGTTTGGGCTTGACAAGTTCAATGGCGACAACTTCGCTGAATGGTCCTTCAGAATGGAGAACGTATTTGACCACTATGACCTGCTGGAGGTGATGGAAGGAACGGAGTGTGAAGAATTGAAAATGGCGGTAATACCGACACCTTGGAGCTCTCGGTGAGAGAGGAGGTTGTTGCGAAGGGTGGGGATGTGGAGACCCGTGACCCTACCGGAGGGGAAAGTGGTGCAAGGGAGGGTGGAGAGGTGAGTGCATGGGATGGAGAAGTTGGAGTCAGCACCATGAACCTGGGTGGGAAGTGGGAGGGGGTTGAGGGTGCCAGCGTCTTTGAGTGCGGTTTCTGTGGCCCCACTGTCAAAGACAAAGTCCAAGGTGGGGGAGGAAGGAAGGGGAGGTGACACGGGGTACTGGAATAACGTTTCATTGATAGCAGAGGGATACATGGAAGCGACGGATTGTGCAGCACAAACTTGACCAAGGAAACTGCCCTGAGAGTCAGGGACACTCGGGGGGGCAGAGGGAATGGAACCCCAGGGGGGGGGGGAGCAAGGGAGGCATGAGCGGCCATGGCCGCTGCGCCGAAGGTCATCGGCTGCTGCTGCCACTGCGGCGGCTGCTGCTGCTGGAAGAACTACTGATGTGGGGGCTGCTGCAGCTGAAAAAACGGCGGCTGCTGGTGCTGAAGAAACTGTGGCTGCTGCTGCTGCGGGAAGTACTGCTGCTGTTGCTGCTGGTGCTGCTGAAACTGCTGCAGCTGGGAGGGGTGGGAGGGGGTGAGCACACGGAGGTGAGCGGGGAGGAATGAGGGGAGGGTTTGAATGTCCACGAAGGAGAGGCGAGGGGTAACACTGTTCCAACGAGGAGGGGTACCAGTGTTGCCGCGTTCAAACCAGGCGTCATCAAGCGCCTTGAAGCAGGTGGCAGGGGGGTGGTTGGTCTGACCACACGGCGTGCCGTCGTGGGGACCATGGCGGCGAACGTACATGCAGGGGGGGGGGAGTCCCAGGGTGACCACCACCACGGCTCACAGCTCCACTAGCACTAGAGGAGCCTCCGGGAGTGGGGCCACCAGAACCACCACCACCACCACCACCACCACCACCACCACCACCACCACCACCACCACCACCACCACCACCACGGCCACCACGGCCACCACCGCCACTACCTCGACTGCCACCTCCGCCCCCTCCACGACCCCCTTCGCCGCCGTTGCGACCACCCTGGTTGCGCGGCTGCGTGGCATTGAGGGAGGTGGAGGAGGAGTGAGTGGTGGTGAGGTTGACAATGGGGGTGCGGAGCTTGACCTCCGTGTCAATGATCCACTACGTCACTTCGGGGAGGCCAGCTAAGGGGTTTGCCTCGGTGAAGGCGTGAAGGCGGGACTCGTAGTCCGGCGTGAGGTTGAAGAGCAGACGATGGATCTGCAGGGGCTCGGAAAGGGCAGCCTGGCGAGCAGTAAGGCGATCGTCTAGCTCCTGCATGCGCCCAACATAGTCGACTGCGCCGTCGCAGGTGGCAAGGGTAATGGAGAAGTACTCCTGGAACAGAACGCCGATGGAGCTGATGTCGCGACGCTCGAACATAGACTGGAGCTCGGTCCAAATCAGGTGAGCGCGCATCTCGCGAGCTTGGAAGCGGCGCATAAGGGCGTCGGGGAGTGCACCGAGGAGGATGGTGCAAGCACAGTTGTCGGCAGCAGCCCAGGCGATGCTGTTGGGGACGTAAACCGCCATGGAGATGTTGTACTCCGCAATCAGCTCCAGGCGAGTGGCACGCTCTGACGATGCAAATTCGTAGTTGAGCACAGCAACATCATGGTCAGCCTTGCGGATAAGGTATTCGCGGCGGTTGTGGAGGAAGGTGGCGTCCGCAGTAGCCTGAAGCTCGGGGTTAGCGGCCACGGTCAGGTTAGGCTCAGGAGGAGGGGGGCCAGGGCGGGAGGGAGAGGAGGAGGTTCGCCAGGGTGATTGGGTGCGGTCGGTTGGAGAGCCTGCGGACGGCGAAGGAGAACGTCAAGGACGCAGTAGGGTCCGACGAAGGCATCTCGAAGGACGCGGCGAATGCTACCGACGAACGAGTGCCAGTTGATGGCGGAGCGATCTGCAGCAAGCTGCAGCTTGTCAACCGAGGAGGCGTCAATGGGAGGGGTGAAAGGAACAGGAGGGGTGGTGGCCATGATGGGCGGCGGCGGGTGGACCCGCGACGACCAAGGAGGAGACGACGGCGGGTGGACCCGCGGCAGTCAAGGGGGAGGCAACGGCGGGTGGACCCGCGGCGGCCAGAGGGAGGTGGAGGCGCTGCTGCTGGAGCGGGGGCACTCCGCCGGCTGCTGCTGCTGCTGGACCCCTCCGGCTGTTGCTGCTGCTGCTATTGCCGCTGTTGCCGCTGCTGCTGCTGCTGCTGATGGAGCTGCTGCCCCTGCTGCCGCTACTATTGTCGATGCCGCTGCTGCGAGGAGAGGGGAGAGGGAGAGGAGGAGGGAGAGGGGGGAGAGGGGGAGGGGAAGGAAGGTGCAGTCACAGGTGCGGCTGGCACGGCTGCCGCTGCTGCCGCGGCTGCCGGGGATGCCGTTGCTGCTGCTGCTGCTGCTGCTGCTGCTGCTGCTGCCGCTGCTGTAGCTGCTGCCGCTGCTGCGAGGAGAGGGGAGAGGGAGAGGCGGAGGGTGAGGGGGAAAGGGGGAGGGGAAGGAGGGTGCAGTCACGGGTGCGGCTGGCATGGCTGCCGCTGCTACCTGCTGCTGCCGCTGCTGCCGGGGATGCCGCTGCAGCAGCTGCTGCTGCAACGGCTGCTGTTGCTGCTGTAGCTGCTGCCGCTGCTCCAAGGAGAGGGGAGAGGGAGAGGAGGAGGGAGAGGGGGAGAGGGAAATGCAGGCACGGATGCAGCTGCCACGGCTGCCATTGCTGCTGCTGCTGCTGCTGCTGCCGCTGCGGCCGCTGCTGTTGCTGCCGCTGCTGCAAGGAGAGGGGGGGAGAGGAGAAGGGAGAGAGTGGAGTGGCGGCGGAATGCGCACGGGGGGGGGGGGGGAGGACGACAGGGTCGCGGGGCCGGGGTGAGCAGGCAGCGACGAGGTGGTCGCGGTGGAAACGGCGCGATCACAGCAGGAAAGGGAGAGGGAGGAAGGGAGTCGCGGTGGAGGGATGCGCAGGCGGCAAAGTGCAGTCGCGGCGGCGGGAATGGGAGGCGGCGATGGTGAAGTCGCGGCCGCGGAAATCGCGGGCGACACGATTTGCGGCGGAAATGGCGGAGATCGCGGCGGCGGTATGTGCAGGCGACGACTTGCAGTCGTAGCGGCGGGAACCGCAGGCGGCGAAAAAGTGGCCGCGGAGAGGGAAAGGGCAGGCGGCGACGAGAGGTCGCGGCGGCGGGACAGGCAGCCGGCGACGAAATGGTCGCGGCGGCGGGACAGGCAGCCGGCGACAAAGAGGTCGCGGCGGCGGGACACGCAGCCGGCGACACAAGGTCGCGCGGCGGAAGAGGGCAGGCGACGACGGGAGAGGTCGCGGCGGCTGGGAGGGCAGGCGGTGACGAAGCAGGTCGCGGCGGCGAGGAGGGCCAGGCTGCGACGAGAAAGGGTCGCGGCGGCCGGGAGGGCAGGCGGCAACGGAAGGGTCGCGGCGGCATGGTTAGAGTGCGGCAGCGTAGCAGTCGCGGCGGTGAAATCCGCGGGCGGGAGGGCGCTGGCACAGCTGCCGCTGCTGCTTGCTGCTGCCGCTGCTACCGGGGATGCCGCTGCTGCTGCTGCTGCTGCAGCTGCTGTTGCTGCTGTAGCTGCTGCCGCTGCTGCGAGGAGAGGGGAGAGGGAGAGGAGGAGGGAGAGGGGGAGAGGGGAATGCAGGCACGGGTGCGGCTGCCACGGCTGCCATTGCTGCTGCTGCTGCTGCCACTGCGACCGCTGCTGTTGCTGCCGCTGCTGCGAGGAGAGGGGGGGAGAGGAGAAGGGAGAGAGTGGAGTGGCGGCGGAATGCGCAGGGGGGGGGGGGACGACAGGGTTGCGGGGCCGGGGTGAGCAGGCAGTGACGAGGTGGTCGCGACAGAAACGGCGCGATCATGGGAGGAAAGGGGGAGGGAGGAAGGGAGTCGCGCTGGAGGGATGCGCAGGCGGTAAAGTGCAGTCGCCGCGGTGGGAATGGGAGGCGGCGACGGTGCAGTCGCGGCCGTGGAAATCGCGGGCGACGGGATTTGCGGCGGAAATGGCGGAGATCGCGACGGCGGTATGTGCAGGCGACGACTTGCAGTCGCAGCGGTGGGAACCACAGGCGGCGAAAAAGTGGCCGCGGGGAGGGAAAGGGCAAGCGGCAACGAGAGGTCGCGGCGGCGGGACAGGCAGCCGGCGACGAAAAGTTCGCGGCAGCGGGACACGCAGCCGACGACGGAAGGTCACGTGGCGGAAGAGGGCAGGCGACGACGGGAGAGGTCGCGGCGGCTGGGAGGGCAGGCGGCGACGAAGCAGGTCGCGGCGGCGAGGAGGGCCAGGCGGCGACGGAAGGGTCGCGGCGGCACGGTTAGAGTGTGGCAACGTAGTAGTCGCGGCGGTGAAATCCGTGGGCGGGAGGGCGCTGGTGGCGAAATCCGCGGTGAGGGAAATGGCGGAGGAAGGGAGGCCGCGGCGGAAAAGCACGGGCGGCGGTTGAAAGGCCGCGGCGGGAAAGTGCCGGGATGGGAAGGGGGGAGGGGGACGGAGGCGACTGAAGGGTCGCGCCGTGAGGGAAGCGGATGGTGGGCCCTTAAGAAAAAAAAAACTGGAGGGGGAGGAGGTTGCCTTAGGAAGGACTTAGCTCTATACCATGTGAAGAATTGAAAAAGAATGATTAGTTCCATTAGAGGGTAGAACAAGCATACATAGGTTTGGAAGAGAAGGTTGGAAGGGAAAAGGAGGGAGGTGGGATTGGGGGAGTGGGCCAACCTATGGCCCATTGGGTTGGGTTGACCACACTTGGGGAAGTGGGGTTAACCTATGGCCCAATAGGTTGGGTTGGCCTCACTTTGTGAAGTGGGGTACCCTATGGCCCATAGGTTTGCATTTGGGGGCTCCACCACAATTGGGTTGGATTGGCACCCCAAAATGCAAGACTACACCCAAAGTTGGGTGTAGTCCCAACCAAACTGTACACCACAATTGGTGTACAGTCACAAGTGTTAGCATGCTAGAACATAGGGTCGCGGCGGCACGGTTAGAGTGTGGCAACGTAGTAGTCGCGGCGGTGAAATCCGTGGGCGGGAGGGCGCTGGCGGCGAAATCCGCGGTGAGGGAAATGGCGGAGGAAGGGAGGCCGCGGCGGAAAAGCACGGGCGGCGGTTGAAAGGCTGCGGCGGGAAAGTGCCGGGATGGGAAGGGGGGAGGGGGACGGAGGCGACTGAAGGGTCGCGCCGTGAGGGAAGCGGATGGTGGGCCCTTAAGAAAAAAAAACTGGAGGGGGAGGAGGTTGCCTTAGGAAGGACTTAGCTCTATACCATGTGAAGAATTGAAAAAGAATGATTAGTTCCATTAGAGGGTAGAACAAGCATACATAGGTTTGGAAGAGAAGGTTGGAAGGGAAAAGGAGGGAGGTGGGATTGGGGGAGTGGGCCAACCTATGGCCCATTGGGTTGGGTTGACCACACTTGGGGAAGTGGGGTTAACCTATGGCCCAATAGGTTGGGTTGGCCTCACTTTGTGAAGTGGGGTACCCTATGGCCCATAGGTTTGCATTTGGGGGCTCCACCACAATTGGGTTGGATTGGCACCCCAAAATGCAAGACTACACCCAAAGTTGGGTGTAGTCCCAACCAAACTGTACACTATAATTGGTGTACAGTCACAAGTGTTAGCATGCTAGAACATAGGATTTCTAACACGGAGAAGCGCCTCGAGAACGACCCGGAGAAGAGCCCGTGGGTGCGGAAGAGCGCACAAGGCTATCTCCTACTTGGGCAAGCGTTGGGGAGCAGCCAGATCCGTCACATCAAGTCATTCCAGCGTGAACCAGAGAAGGCATGGGCTGCTCTCAAGGGTGTACATGCTCCTACAACAGCGGCGGTAGCGGTGGTGTTGGAGCGGCAAATGGCGGCACTACGAATTTGAGAAGATGAACCGGTTGAAGAAGGGGTGCAGAAATTCTTCGACTTGTTGACGCGGCTTGAAGGAGCGGATCTCAACTATAGTGAGCTCCAAAAGAAGACCAAGTTGCTGGCCTTACTCCCCGAGTCATGGTCCTCGCTCATCATCAACTTGAATCGCGATCTGCCCCGCCTCTCGCTTGAAGACGTGAAGCGAGCGATCCTTCAACAGGATTTCCGCCGCCGTGAGTTGGCGGGTTCGGATGGGGCCGGGGCAGCAAGCATCGGCCGGGGATATGGTCGTGGAAGGGGCAGAGGACGAGGAGGAGGAAGTTTTGGAGGGAGCAACTACAATGGAGGCCGTGGAAGTGGCAGCTATGGCAATGACAACAAGAACTACAGACGCGGTCGCGGACGGTTCGACGGCGAGTATCATTTTTGCCACAAGAGCAGACACATGTGGCGCGATTGCTACAAAATCCCTGATGGATGGACTCCTGCTCAAGGCCAAGAGGGTAGATGAGCAGGGGGAGGGAGAGGAAGAGGCCGTGGAGGCCGTGGCGGTCGCGGAGGTGGTGCTGCAAATATGAAGAGTGACGGCAACGAGAGCGAGTCGAGGGACGATCGCTTTCCGGGTCAATTCTTCTTCGTGTCCACGCAAGCACCGGCTGGTCTAGAGAAGGATGAAGGCTTTGAGGAGCCAACAGCAATGGGGAAGGTCACCCTACACTCCCTGGACTATTGGGTGATCGATAGCGGTGCTACCTATAGCATGACACATCGTGCGGACTTGCTCACCGAACTCGAACTGTCACCGCTGAAGCATGTCACATCGGCCTTGGGGCAGCGAGCAGAGGTGAAAGGCATGGGCAAGGCCATGTTCAAGGGTGCTGATGGGAAGATGGTGGGCCTCAAGAACGTGCTTTGGGTGCCCAACCTTGCTGCGAACCTGATTTCTGTGCGGTGGTTGCAAAAGGCCGGCATGGATTCGAGTTCGAAGGGAGCGAAGACCTACACCGCAAGGATTGGCGAGCGGATTCTATGGGACCTTCATGAGCCAGAGGCTGGAGGTGGAGTAGGAGTAGTGCCGGGAGATCCGTTGCAGGAACTCCTCTCCTTCTGAGTTGCCATGCCTTGTGCTGTTGTAGGAGTTTGAGTAATTGATCTTGCCTTGGAGGCTCTCATACCATGTTGGGCTGAGAAAAAGCCCTTAGGATCCTTTCAAGGCTAAGACCTTGGGGTAGAGATGTTGTAATTGCGGAACGTAGTACGGCCGCGGCCACGCAGCGCCTCCAGAAACAGCAGAGACAGCACCAGTACCCTCAGCTCCAGGGTCTCCAGCTACAAATCCCGCAGCACCACCAGCTCCAGTACCTCCAACAGCTCCAGCTCTAGCAGCACCTCTAGTAGCAACAACTCCAGCACCTACAGCTCCAAGGGACCGGGGGAGACCAGAGACAAGGGTACGGGAGGCCATACCTCGAAGACGAGGCAGGGAGGGGTGACCAAGGCGGTGGTGCCAAAGGAGAGTCTCGTGTGACAGAGGACGACACGAGCAGGGGGCCGACGCTGGACTAGACCTGGACGCGGCAGAAAACACCTGACCAGACGCGGCTACCTGACCAGACGCAGCAACCGGAGGAGACGCAGTAGTCAGTGTGTACAGACTCGACCCAGGCCGATGGGTGAACGTGGCCAGGTGGCGGCCCGTCCAAGAGCAAGTGCAGTGGGTCACACGCTGACCTCCAGGGGTGAACTGGTCAACCCACGCGTCCTGAAGGTCAGCTCCACTCACCAAGTTCGTAGAGAACGAGGGGAGGTGGAGTCCCGATAGAAAGCCCGACGGGGCCGCAGGGCACGGTAGAACTGTGGAAGAGTGCGCAAGGACTGGGCCCCTAGAGGGGTCAGCCAGGGAGACTACGACAGGCCGACTGAGCGGCGTGAGTGTGGTGCTGTCACGAAAGAAGGAGCGCGAAGCACCAGATTCAAGTGTGAGTGTGCAAGGCCTCAGTAGGTGCAGTACCAGAGAGAGCAGACTCACCAGCACCTGGAGCAGCAGACTCACCAGTACCTGGAGCAGCAGACTTACTAGCACCTAGAGCAGCAGCCTCAATGCCCGGGTCGAGGGGAACACACAGGTAGCAGTCACCCTCAGCACTATCAGTCACAGCATACATGGCAGCAAGGATAACATCGAAATCAAGATCAAAGATAGCAACATTCTGCCTAAGCAGATCACCCCAGTGAGGGAGCTCAACAGCGTCAGGAAACTGGGCGCGCCAGGTGTCAGTCAGGCAACCGAAGCAGCGCTACGCAGTGGCAGCCCGCACGTCTCCCCACGGCGCGCGCCGGTGCGAAGAACGTAAGTGTAGGGACCAACACCCCCAGACCTCCCACGCCCAGCATACCACTCACGAAGCTGATGGGCCGACGGGGTCTCACGGGAACGCTGCTGCTGCTGGCGCTGGCTACCACCAAAGCCTCCACGCTGCACGGCTCCACCTCGACCAGCACCACCGCCGCCGCCACCTCCACCATCGCTGCCGCTGCCTCCACCGCCGCTGCCGCTGCCTCCACCACCCCCA